TCCAGGCGGGTGGGCCCTGCCCTGGCCCCAGAGGCCTCTGATCTCCAGGTCTTCCCAACACTGGCCTGGAGGAAGCTGCGGCTGCCTTGGTCCTGTCTGGAGCCTTGTAAAACCCTTTGCATCCTGTTCAGTACCAGCCAGACAGGCATCTAGTCGTTCCTTCCTCTGTGGGCCGTTGGCAGCAAGTGGAGCGTTCCGGCACCAGGAAGGTGTATGGCAGCGGCATGAGACAGTGAAATAGCCAGGTGGTTGGATTCCCTGGTGTGTGTGTGTTCTGTAGGCAATTGTGGTAGGATTGCATCTGACTGCATCTTCCATTAAAAGGACTAAATACAGTCCAGGGCCTGGAGAAAAAGTTGCTTTAAATCAGTGGTTCTCAACCTGTGGGTCGCGACCCCTTTGGGGGTCGAACAACCCTTTCACAGGGGTCGCCTAAGACCATCAGAAAACACATATATAATTACATATAGTTTTTGTGATTAATCACTATGCTTTAATTATGTTCAATTTGTAACAATGAATATACATCCTGCATATCAGATATTTACATTACAATTCATAACAGTAGCAAAATTACAGTTATGAAGTAGCAACGAAAATAATTTTATGGTTGGGGGTCACCACCACATGAGGAACTGTATTAAAGGGTCGCGGCATTAGGAAGGTTGAGAACCACTGCTTTAAATAATATCGGTGAAATGTGAATTGACAGCATCCTAGGAGAGGGCAGCTGAGTTGCTCCAGGAGAGAAAGAAGCCCGGGGCCAGGAGGAGGCAGGAGAAACATCAGCCTTATGTCATTGAAGAACAAAAGAGGGTGTCGGTGGGTGACACCGGGAGATGGTGGAGTTCTCTTTGTGGTTTCCGTCCCTCACCGCAGAGTGATCCGAAAGGCCCATCCAGGGCTACCTTGGCACAAACGGGGCCTAGCTCTGCCTTCGTGGGCTGACCTTTCATTTCACTTGACCTTCCTGAGGACCATAGTCTCCTCTGACCCGCAGACCATGTTTTTGTGTCTGAAACGTTTTTGTATGTGAAGTGATGCATAGGCCCATCTTTCAGAGAGCACTACATTTGACACAGATGTGGACTCACAAATCCAGAATAAGGTAATATCTTTGTGTAAGATTCCTGTCACCTTCATTCGAGAAGTGAGACAAATGTGGGAAAACCCTCGACAGACACCCATCCCCCCAGGACAGGCTGCTTGCAGAGACCAAGACACTGCCATGTTACTAGAGAAGCCAGGCTGTGCACAGGCCGGGAGGTGGCTCCGGGAATAATGTAGCTCCATGAACAATAAAACACTCGCTCTCTCTCCTAGAAAAGTCCGGGTGCAGGAGCAGGGAGCCCTGCCCCTCCCTCGATGTGCGATGCCTAGTTGCCTTTGGACCTCATTTTGCTCACCTGTAAATCCACCATGGGCAAGTGATCCAAACTTCTCTTTATGACCGTGCCCCCCTCTTCCGCCTGCAGCTTAGCCAGAGGCCCACCGTGGAAGAACTTCGGGAAAGGAAGATCCTCATCCGCTTCAGCGACTACGTGGAGGTGGCTGACGCCCAGGACTATGACCGCAGGGCGGACAAGCCGTGGACCCGCCTCACCGCTGCCGACAAAGTGAGGAGAGGGGCAAGGAGAGGGGGGCAGGTGCCCACACCCAGGTTTTGCCCCTACACTGCGTTCCTCGCTTGCTGCCTGGGATGCTGTATTGAAATGAACAGCAAAGCTGTGGCCAGGGTCTTGGGAATGGAGCGTTCGGTGCCCGCTGGGCAGGCTGAGAGTGCCGTGTCCCCACCACCTTTGCCCAGGGCTCCAGAGAATTGGGAGCGGTCACTGAATTGATTCCTCACCGCTCTGGAGAAGGAGCAAGACAGACACGTAATATTGTGCCATTTTACGGGAGAAGGAAAGACAGTGTGGGAGATGGTGCCCAGAGGAAAGAACAGCACCTGTGGGGCACCCAGCTGACCTTCCGGGTAGAGCCACTGGCTGCAGCACCCACAGGGGTGTCCCAAAACCAAAAGGGGCTGAGGCCACTGTCCTGGCAGTTGTTGTAACCTAGTGGCAAAGACACAAACCACAGAGACAGCAAAACATGTCCCTGCACTAAACCTCCATCGACTAGAAAGAATACAATCTGAAGTTGAGTTTGTTTGTTAAGAAATGCAGTGATGCAAATGATGCCATTCTTACCTGCCCATTGGACCATGCATTAGAATTAAACTCTGCTTGGTCATCGTTTGTGATTCTAGCCCAGTCACCACGAGGAACTGGAGGGCTTCTGACCTTCTTTCCCCAAACATTCTCGGGCCGGTGGCTCCTTCACTTGCTAGACAGGAGGAAGCACAGGGAAAGGCAGGGGAGCCGCTGCCCTTGGGGAAACTGATGAGGTCAGAGGCAGAGACCTCCCGGAAATGGCCTCCCACATGGGGTCAACCCACAGGTCCTGATGAGTGGGAAACTCTGCCCCTTAAATGCAGCACCACCTCTTCCTGTGCAGGAACTCGGTGAGGCCCCAGGAACTGGCCCAGACAGAGCCTGCCCCCCAGGCGGTGGTGTCTGTATTGTCCACGGAGGAGGGCCCTGGCCCTGGTTCTCCTGCTCACACTGGCTGTGGTGCGCAGAGCCTGCCCCCCAGGCGGTGGTGTCTGTATTGTCCGCGGAGGAGGGCCCTAGCTGGCCTTGGTTCTCTTGCTCACACTGGCTGCGGTGCACTTGGTACCAAGGGTAGGGGTGCCGCAGGTGTCAAGAGGAAGGACAGGGTGACTCCAGCTCCGAGAGGCTGTTGGGTAGGGAGCGGACCCAGCTCCTCCCAGGCTGCTGGGGATGGGAAACCGGACTCGGAGCCTCCTTCTAACTGGCCCTTAGACGCTCACGTGCCCCCGTTTCGAGAGGAGCCACTGTGATGCTCCCTAAAGACTTCTCCAGCCTCAGACTCCCAGTGCTTTGACTTGCCCACCAAAGCCAATGCCAACCTTACAAAGAGCTCTGCGGAAGGGCACACATTTAAAACTTCAGCCCTGGCATTCCTGTGTCCTAGACCCTCCTCACCTGTCTCTGTGCTGGTTCCCCAGCCCTCCCGGTGGGCTGCAGCCAGGTGGGTGGGCAGTGCTAGAAGGATGAGGTTATTCAAGTTTATCACAGAATATACTAAGGTTATCTAAAACATCCCATCTACCCGTAATGGTGAAAAATACGGTCTCAGCTTCAAGAGTCATGAAAGAGGAGAGGGTTTATAAATCAAAGGGAAGGGGGGTGACCCTCCCCTTCTAGAAGTATCCACTGTGAGGCACTGCTGTGGTTGTGATGAGTTCAGATTGTTTACCTAAGGAAGGTGAGAGGTTGACTTTTTTTTTTTAATATGTTTTTATTGACTTTTTTTAGAGAGAGAGAAAAGGAAAGAGATAGAGAGATAGAAACATCAATGATAGAAGAGCATCATTGATCGGCTGCCTCCTGCACACCCCACAGAGGATTGAGCCCGAAACCTGGGCATGTGCCCTGACCTGGAATCGAACCGGTGGCCTCTTGGTTTCTGGGTCGATGCTCAACCGCTGAGCTACATTGGCCAAGCGACATTTTTTTTTAATTGTTTTATTGCTTAAAGTATTACAAAGAGTATTACATATGTCTCCTTTTTTTTCCCCGTCCTTGACAATCCCCTGGCCTTCCCTACCCACCAGTTTCTTATGTCCATTGGTTATGCTTATATGCATGCATACAAGTCCTTCGGTTGATCTCTAACCCCCCCCACCCTCCTGCCCACCAACCCTCCCCGGCCTTCCCGATGTAGTTTGATAGTCTGTTCGAGGCTGCTCTGCCTCTGTATCTATTTTTGTTCATAAGTTTATAATGGTCTTTATTATCCATAAATGAGTGAGATCGTGTGGTATTTTTCCTTCATTGACTGGCTTATTTCACTTAGCATAATGCTCTCCAGTTCCGGCCAAGCGACATTTAAATGTGTACTCGGGAGCCCAGGAGTGTGGGCAGGTGTGCACACTATGGATGCCGGATGAAACAGCCTGCAGACTGAAGGGTCCTGGGTTCGATTCCAGTCAAGAGCACATGCCCAGGTTTCCCATACAGAATCATTCGTGGTTTAGATTTCAGGGCAGGGGGTGTCATAGTAGGTCTAAAGGATATCCCAGGTGATTGGTTTTTTTTCTCCCAGTGAAAACTCCATTTTGTGTGGCTTTGTCAAAGGGAAAAAAATAGAAATAAAATAAGAAGTGAGCTCCTTCCCATCTGCCCCCTCTGCATCCTCATGGGCTTCTCTCCATTCCAGGCTGCCATTCGGAAGGAGCTGAATGAATTTAAAAGCACTGAGATGGAAGTTCACGAGCTGAGTAGACATCTAACAAGGTGAGTATCGCGGTGTGCTTTTCCCTCTCAAGTTGTCATACCTACTTCCAAACGACCTACCTGTTTCTGGGTCCCAGCGGTGTGGTGGGCGCGGGAAGGAGAAGATAAAGGTTCGCACTGAGTTCCCACTGTGGCCACTGAAACTGGGGTGAGGGCATTCAAGGCCCCAGCTGAAAGCCACCTTCTGAAAGCCACTTTTTAACTCATTCAAACTGAAAACCCCAAGGTGGGTTTTCACAAAAACTTAAGCCGAGGAGAAAAGATCGTTGTCGATTGACAGCCAGTTGGCAGAGGCCAGCCCTGGTTCACTTCTGTCATTCTCCCAGGTGGTCTTGTGTGGTGCTGCTTGGGGAACTGAACACAGAGAGATAATGGGCTTATGTAGGGTCACTCAGTGACAGAACCACTGACAATTCTTAGACACGCCCCTTGGGGGAGCCTTCTGAGAAATGGTGCCTGGACTTGCAGGCACAAGGTTGAGGTCTCCACCTCACTGCCAAGTCCAGACTGCGGGCCACCAGGGCCATCTGACTAGTCCATAGGAATTCTGATTAAACTATTCCAAAACCGAAGGTGGATTCGGTGGGCCTCAGGGGTTCTGTGGGAGATGTATACCCCCCTCTGCTGTCAGAAGCAAAGACTCTGAGGATGGAAGGCGTGGGCCGTGGAACCAGACACCTCGGGCAGCCGCTTGGTCTTGATTCATTTATTTCTTTTTCCAGGTTTCACCGACCTTAACAGTCAAATTCCTCTTGAGTGCTATGCTGTCTTCAAAACATAAATTTATAAGAACCATAAGTGCTGGTATTTATTCACGTCCCATCACGATGTAAATCTTCTGAACTGCCTTTTTTAAAAGAAGGAGAAGGAGAAGGAAAGGAAACACAATCAGGATTCTGTTTGAGAAACACGATGGTCACCGCTCCGTGGTCAGAGCTGCTGGCACCGCCACGGATCCTGAACCGTGCCCGTCCCCGGCAGGCCGAGAGCACCTGCGGCCTCGCGGAAGACTTTCAGCCCCGGTCCTCACTTAGGCTCCAGCGACCTTTCCTCAAAAGTACCTGTCACCTAAGTCCAAAGAAAGCTGAGGCATTGGGCGTGGCCTGGGAATGACTTTGAGAAGCAAATCATCTGGTTGGCCGATTAGGCTTGGCTTCTGGTTTGGGGTCCCCTCAGGAGGAGGGTGCTGAGAGGGAGCACTGTCTCAGCTGCCCTGTCCACTCCCTCCAGCCACCCTCCTTCCAGTGAACAAAAGGGAAGAGCCCTTGTCTGGGTGACTGTCACACCCATCCTGTCCCTCAGGCGGCGGAGCTGCCCTCGGGCAGCTCTGGGTTAGAAGGGGAGAGTTGTCACCTGCTCATTTAACAGCCCAATGTCACAGGTGATCTGCACACAAACAGCCACTGCTAAGGTGCACCTACAGCCTCATGTGTAGGAGTGGCCTCATCACAGGTGATCTGCACACAAACAGCCACTGCTAAGGTGTACCTATGGCCTCGTGTAGGAGCGTAAGGACCACGTGGAGGGCATAAAGGCTGGGGTGGGAACTCCGCTTGGCTGGTGGGCTTCAACTTCTCTGCCTGCCCCAGGGCTGGTGACCCTTTGACTCGGAAGTTAATGGCTCCCGAGTACAGGCCCCCACACATGTAGGCCAGAAACCATTCCTGAAGGACCAGCCTTCCGGCCACTGACGGACTGGTACTCTAGAACGACGTGATGGCCTTCCAGTCTCCTTTCTTTGCACTAAGGGGTTTCTGTGGGTTTGGCAGAGGCCAGAATTGGGCAGCCAGCAGCCATGTCCGCCTTGTGCTGTACTTCCCTGTTCATGTTTCTCCAGGGGGAACCCTTCCTCCCTCGTGATACTGGCAAGGGTGATTGGAGATGCATCTCTAACTGCCCCCCTCACCTGGGACCACAGGAAGCAGTGCTCTGTTGACCGAGGGACCCCGAGGGTAGCACGTGCAGTGGGAGGAAGGATGAGCCCCAAACCCTGAGAGTTTGACTTCTCTTTTGTGAGGCCCCGTGCAGCCCCTTTTTTCCTCCTGACAGAGCTCGTAAGGCCCCCATCTCGAAGCTCTGCCTGGCCTCCCACAGTCATTGTGGTCTCAGTTACCACAGTCTTTCCAGGTGATGGTCCCCTCTCCACCACACGTGCCCACGAGTTAGAAGGATGCCCGCTTGGCCTTCACAGCAAAGAGTTAACCAGTCCCCACCCCGACCTGCAACCTGCGTGGGAAGGGAGTTACTGCTGGGATGCGCGCCCACCAGGGAGGCCGTTTACCTTCTGCCGGCATCCACAGCGCCTGCGGCCAGCACCACCCAGGGCTGTGCGTGTGCGGGGGGCGCGGCAGTGCTTCAGGCAGTGCCCACCAGCCGCTGCACAGCTGTCCTGTGCTTTCCTCACAGCACCTGGAACATGCCGCTGCCCATCACTAGATCCTTTTTTCTTTGCTGAATCTTAATAGTTCTTGACGCGGGTAGAAGTATTGTTCAAGGGAAATGTGTGGCTGTCAGCACTATCTTCCCAAAAGGCTTCCTGACATCTGAATGTGCAGATGGTGTGACGAAAGATGTAGGGCTCTTTCGTTTGACTTCTCTGCAGCGGGCACATGTTCTGGGCGGAGCTGCCTGCCTTGCCCAGAGCTGAGTCTGAGCTTCCTCTAATGGGCTGCTGTGCTTCAGGCAACTGGCAGTGCCCGGCAGGATGGGCAGGCCTTCCCCTGGCCCAGGAGCGAGTCCTAGGGGAACTCATTCCATGACCTGGACTCCTCCCACCAAGGCCAGTGGCTTCTCTGCTGGCCTTGCTTCTTGGGTCTTTCTGATTCCCTGGGGACATGAGGCCCAAATCAATTTCCCTGCAGCCCACCTGCCAGCCAGTAGTCCAGGTTTCTCCCCAAGTGCTCTACTGGGCAGTCCACTGTGCACGGAAGGAGTCGAACACGTCCCCCTTCTCCTCCTGCAGAGCACCGTCTTCCACTTGCAGGACTTAGGGTTGCACCTTCCATGCCAGTGACAGCACCCACCCCAGATGTGGGTGGTTTCAAACCCACTGTGTGTGGCTCAGCAACTTCTGTGGACCACAGCATGGCCTCTCTGCTGTCCCTTTCCCTTCCTGAAATCTTGAGGAAATCTGTAGAAATCCGTCCAAATTTCTTTTTTGCCACATTGTTCTGACAGTTGGAAAATGTGTGTTAATTCCCAAGATGACAAATCGACATTAATTAGAAGTGGGGGGTCAGAGAGATGGCCTAGCTGGTTTACAATGCTTTCTTTGTCTGAAAACGCTGCTGTTTTCAAGTAAAGGTTTAGTTTGTGTGTATAAATTTCCAATTGGGCCTCTTATCATGAAAGGAAAAGTGTGAAACTCCTCAAATCAAAATGTTTCCTTCTGAAAAGGAGACCTTGCCCCGACCTCCCCCGCCCGTCTACGACAGAACAGTGCCATCGACCGGCCTGCGTGCTCTTTCGAGATTGCTGTGTTCCTCCCAAAGGCCCTCAAAGCCCTGGAAAACCTTTAAAACTTTAGCCTTTATGTCAGATTAGAGAAACCAAACGGTGTGACGGTAGTTGTGGTGAGAACCTCTGAGTTTCTTTCGAGATTGCTGTGTTCCTCCCAAAGGCCCTCAAAGCACTGGAAAACCTTTAAAACTTTAGCCTTCATGTCAGATTAGAGAAACCAAACAGTGTGATGGTAGTTGTGGTGAGAACCTGAGTTTCTTTTTCTCCCGCTTCCGAACGTGTATATTTGCTGAATGAAAATCGTGGTGTGTGCTCGACGAGTGGATGTCCGCTCTCCCTGTGCACAGCCAGTGTGCGAAGGTCACCTTAAGTGAAATGGCTTTTTCTTCCCATTTGTCTGTTAATCCCCAAACCGGTTGCTTTTTCCAGTTGCTCCCCGGGTGTCTGTACATAGTTTGTCTTTGTATAGGAGCGCGCGCTCGTGTTCTAATTCAACAGATGACGGCTGTATGAGGAAGACGATGTAAATAGAATACAAGTTAAACTGGATCTCTATGGCCTAGGTTTTGTACATACAGAAACTGCATGGTATTTAAATTATTGTTTGTCTCTGATGATGTATGCAGTTTCTTTAAAAACAAATCCAAAAAAAAGTCTAAAAAAATCATTTTCTTGCCTTCTGTGTGTTGTATTAACCACCAGCAGGAACCACCAAAAATACTTGGCTTGCCTGGGGAAGGGGAAGGGGGCAGGGCAGGGAAGCCCATCAGCAAAATCCTGAGCTATGGAGACAGGACAGCCTTATACATCTGGTGTTATTGGGGTAGGAAGGATTGTTGCACATGAATTAATTGTCTAGATAACATTTGTTAGCCAGGACTTTTTTCTCCCAAACATTTTCTTAAGAATGTCTAGAATGCATTGTCCAGCTGTCCTTTAATGATCTGGGAGTCATGAATGTGGATGAACTCAGTAGTGCAGAGTCATCTGGGTCGTATCAGACACCAGACAGCCCTAGGTTACAGCAGTGCCTTGGGGGGGCCTTTGGAGTGACACTGCCCAGAAGCCAGAGCCTCAGCCCATTTTACTCTTTGAATACTGAAGTCTGACTTCTTCCTTGAGAAGCCTAAGTATTTGTCCTGTACAGCGAAGGTCTGAGGGAGCAAAGAGGGGCTGCAATACTTGCTGGCTGCACTCCAGGGGGTGAACTTGCTGGGTACCATATCCTTGGTCCTCAAACATAGGAGTGTGGCTCTGGGAAGGAGGAGAAGGGGGCAGGGCAGGGAAGCCCATCAGCAAAATCCTGAGCTATGGAGACAGGACAGCCTTATACATCTGGTGTTATTGGGGTAGGAAGGATTGTTGCACATGAATTAATTGTCTAGATAACATTTGTTAGCCAGGACTTTTTTCTCCCAAACATTTTCTTAAGAATGTCTAGAATGCATTGTCCAGCTGTCCTTTAATGATCTGGGAGTCATGAATGTGGATGAACTCAGTAGTGCAGAGTCATCTGGGTCGTATCAGACACCAGACAGCCCTAGGTTACAGCAGTGCCTTGGGGGGGCCTTTGGAGTGACACTGCCCAGAAGCCAGAGCCTCAGCCCATTTTACTCTGAATACTGAAGTCTGACTTCTTCCTTGAGAAGCCTGAGTATTTGTCCTGTACAGCGAAGGTCTGAGGGAGCAAGAGGGGCTGCAATACTTGCTGGCTGCACTCCAGGGGGTGAACTTGCTGGGTACCATATCCTTGGTCCTCAAACATAGGAGTGTGGCTCTGGGAAGGAGGAACCTAGCACTCCCTCTGCACCCTCACTGGGAATCACCCTGGAGCTTGTCAAAGTGCAAGTGCCAACTCAGTAGGTCTGGGGGAGGAGGGGGGGGTCCTGAGAGTCTGTCCTAACGAGCTCCCAGAGCATGCTGGGGCCCCTAGTCCAGGAAGAGGTTGGGAGAACAATCCAAGGGGAACCGCTCTTCCTTTGCCTGGGAATCTCCAGCCTCGGAGAAGACCACATGCGCTGTGATGTCTGCGACAGCAGCAGCGCAGCCCCCGCTGGAAGTCGGCATCCTGCAGCCTTGCATCTGAGTGTCTGTCTGCAAGCTCTCAGCTCCACGGGCTCCAGGCCCAGACACTGGGCAGCAGTGGCCACAGCAGGAGGGCATGTGGTTTGCAGGATTTCCTATTCCAGGCTTCTCCTCACTCTGCCTTCTTACCAGCAGAGCTCCCACTTAATAAATGTAACTGCCAGAGCTTGGCTGCAGGTATCCAGGTGAGTGAAAGGGCCAGAGAGAAAAGCCTTGGCAGAACCCCCAATAGGCCCTGCCTGGCGAGAGGGAAGGAACTGGCCTCCATCCAGAGGGAGCCCTTTCGGAAGGAGAGGGCGGTCGTGGCTCCACGTTCTCGGTAGGTAGAGGCGCTTGGTGTGTCCCTCGGACCTGTTTACAGCGTCCTCGGGCAGAGGAGCGATGTCCCGGTCGCGACATCTAACTGGACAACTTCGGCCAAGTCACTCAATTTCTCTGGGCCTCTATGGCCTGGTCTGGAACGTGGGGGCACTGAATTAGATGTCCTCTATTTCTAAGATTTGGGTTCATCCGAATTTTTAAGACACTAGACTTAGTGCTTAGGAAAGAGTAAGCTCTGGGTAAGTCCTGCCAAGGCAGCCTCCTCTCAAAGAACAATTTGGGGTCCTCTCCAGACCACCTGCAGGTCTGCCATGTCTGCCTGCACCCCTCCCGGCCCTGGGTTGGCCTCCTGGGGTGGACTGGTTGGTACTGAGAGCTGCCTGCTCCCACACATCTTGGTGGGGGCTTGTCCTAAAGCTGCAGTCAACCAGGTAACTGCTTCGTCCTGCCTGTCCCTTCCTCTGAGCAAAGCACCCTGGAGGGGCCCATGGGCCTGGAGCGGTGATGCTCACACACAGCCTGTTGCCCTCTACCACACCCCAGTGAGGCGCTGCAGAGATGTGGTCTTTACGCCTGCTCGTTAGTCCAATGAACGCTCCCTGGCTGGCTCTCCATGGGCCCTGGGAACAATCCTGGACTCAGGTGACTCTGTAGCTACAGCTGCAGCTTAGCTCTGCCCTGAGCTCCTGACACAGGGGCCAGCTGTCAGACGTGAAGAGCCGAAGAGGGTGCTGAGCCCACACACCCCCAGGGTCAAATTGTGGCTTCGCCCCTTATGAGCTGTGTAACTGGTCAACTTAATCTCACTGTGCCTCAACTTCCTCATCTGTAAAATGGGACTGACCGCACCAATTTTATCGGGCTGGTAAAATGAAACGATATATATAAGGGGCTTAACATGTTAGCTCCTATGCTTCCTTCGTTCCTCATCTGTAAAATGGGACTGACCGCACCAATTTTGTAAGGCTGTAAAATGAAACGATATATGTAAGGGGCTTAACATGTTAGCTCCTATGCTTCCTTCACATGTATGTCTCTCACAGGCACCTCAACTTGGTATGTCCTAGACCTAGATGATTGTTTCCATATCTTCAAAACCCATCCCTCTGCCCCTCCTGAGCCTCCTCTTACTCCCTTCTTCGAGGAAAAGCATTGACCAGAAGTCGCCGTCTCTCCACTTCCAGCTGAGAGTGTGACAGACACCTGCCACCTCGCTCTGGAGCCATTCCGCTGCCCTTTCATTGAGGCCTCCTCTCCCCCCTGATGACAGTAGTCGTGCCTCCTCGCCTGCGGCGTCCACTCTCCCATCCCGCCGCCTGAGTCCTCTAGCAAGCAGACTCGCTCACACCACACTCCTGCCTGGCGTCTGCCGTGGCCCCCACTGTCCTTCCCATAAAATCCAACTCCAGTGTGCACCCTGGTGTCAGTGTGGTCCGCCCAGCCATGTCCTCCTGCACAGGGGTCCGGGTAGGCTGCACTGTGTGGCTCTGCAGCCCTGCGGGGGGCTGTGCTGTACCGATCACCGCAGGAACAACCAGGTCCGGCAAGGGGCCTCAGAGACTGAGTGCCTAAGCTGCCCGGACAGAGTCCAAGAGAGGCCTCGCTCAGGTGACCGTGGACTCCGGTGGGCGGCCAGGGTACTTGTGCGTGCAACAGAGACCAGATAGTACGAACAAACGCTGCCCCTGAGGAGCCTGATGTGTGCACCCTGATTTCTAGCTCAGGCCCTCTGGGCCCTCGGCTCCTGTTGACACCACCGCTGGCTGCTCCCACACAAGACACTCAGTACACCCGGCTTTGTGCTACACCACTTTCATATGCGGTTTTTTTAATCTTTACAACGCCTGTGGCCTCCAAACCCAGGTCTGTTTGATGCTAAAGCATTGCTCCTCCTCTCCCTGCTAGGCCTCCACTCTGTTCACACTTTCCAGCTTCTCTCCTGTTATCCCAGGGGCCCATCGTAAGCGATCACATCAGTTTCCCAGACTGAGAAGCCAGATCAGAAGAGACCCACTCTCACCAAGCCTGCAGGTCGCAGAAGCTGTTCCTTCACCCAGCTCCTCCCTCCCCTCCGTGCGCTGCCCCTCCATGGGCAGGCTGCAGCTCCCTGCAGTGGGGACCGCCCACAACCCTGAGACAGTCAGCCAATATTTATGACTTCCTGCAAGGGAAGTAATGTCACAGGAGGCACCTGCAGGGCATGGGGCCCACCTAGAGCTGCGGCGAAGGCGGAGAGAACAGCATGTGGCTGGTGCCAGACAGGAAGAACATCTGTCAATCAACCATAGGTACAGCCAGTCCCTTTCCTAAATGCTACTTCTGGTAAGAAAGGGCCCTGCTCTTTAGGTGCCATTAATAAAAAAAAAAAAAAAACGCTCCTGACGTCATAAGAGCAAGTCATCCAATATTTTCGTGGTGCAACACCCCAGGTGACGGCAAGGCGCCCTTGTTAAATGAACCTGTTTGCAGAAGAGGCAGGAAGAGTAAACCGCGAAAGCAGAAGTGGACCTACTCCCCTTCCAGGCTTGGCAGCCAGTGACGATGCAGGAGCTGAGCTGGACACCCAGACGCCAGTTCCCTCCTCCCTCATCGGGGACGGGGACTATCTCGCATGTGCCCTCCAAGGTTAGGTGGTTCAGTCGCTCCTGCAGGGTAATGTCACCGCTGTTGTTTCTTTAATAAAAAACAAGAGACAAGTGGTGGAAGGAAGGAAGGAATTTTCTATCTGTTGTCGCTGACACCTTGTCCGGCGGGGGTCTCGGGGTCCAGGAGAGGCCACGTCTGTACGAGGCTTTGATTCCAGAGCACCCTCCCCACCCCCACCCCCATACCTGTCTCTTCAGCTACGCAGGTAAAAATGCTTTATGCATCGGATGAGCTTACTGCCTCAGAAAGCTCCGCCATGGACTGGACCAGGGTAAAGGGCCGGGTCCCAGCATCCCTGTGGGCCTGCCCCGCTGTGCCACCTGGAGCAGCCTGGACAAGAGCACTCCCAGGCCTGTTCACCTGGCACCTGTGCCCGCTGAAGTCCTCGGCCACCTCACAAAAGCTCCATGTGGCCTTGACCGGTGGCTCAGTTGGTTGAGCATAGTCCTGTGTACCAAAAGGTTTTGAGTTCCATTTCCAGTCAGGGAACAAGCCTAGGCTGTGGGTTCTATCCCCCGTTGGGGTGCGTACCAGAGGCAATAGGTCAATGCTTCTCTCTCTTCCTCTCTCTCTCTCCCCCTTCCTCCCCCCCTC